CCACTCTTCCGTTAGCACTTTTTGACCCTCTTCCCTCTCTATACCATGCAAAATATGATACAGAGACAGAATCTTGTCCAGCATGTTAATAAGCACCTCCAGAGCAAAGGCATTGTATTGCTGTTGAAAGTACAGACTAATCACCCGTGATTGGTTTCAGACTGCTGTTTGTTCTCACTATAGTGACAGCCCTGAGAAGGAAGAGTTAGCCTAGGGTTAAGTGGGTTTGCTAGGTTTGCATTTTTTTTATTTTCTCATGGTGTAGTGAGGTGTGCTGCATATACACGGTAGTCGTAAAAAAATGCGCCCTCAACTCATCTTCTAAAATACAGTGGATTATTTCCCTGATTCCAGAATACGGTCTCCGACTTGGAAGTCAGATCTTCATAAAAGAAATGACCTGTACTGGCTTAGCAACCAAAGATGGCAACCTTCATGAAGGGGATATCATTCTCAAGGTCTGTTCTGGTTTTTACTGCTAGCTGTTTAGCAGGCACTTGTTATAGTATGGTTACTTTGGAGTAAGTCATGTTATAGTTAAGTTCACTGCTAAACTTGAGCACAGTATGGACTTGTTTGTTTACTTGTTCATGTTATTGTTGCCTTTTTATGTGCAGATCAATGGTACAGTGACAGAGAACATGTCTTTAGCTGATGCCCGAAAATTGATTGAAAAGTCACGTGGAAAGCTCCAGCTGGTTGTCCTCAGGGACAGAAAGCAGACACTGCTCAACATTCCTTCACTGAACGACAGTGACTCAGAAATGGATGGTGAGGTCTGATGTGGATAAAAAGTTCTGAACTATGCAGAGTGGAACTAGGTTCTTAATAAATGTAACTAAACACAAAGAAACCTAAGTAATGGTCCATTAAGCATTAAGCTCACTTCCTTTAGGTGAAAGAAAAATTTTGTAGTAATCATGTGATTGTATTTTGGGCAGGGGCATATAGAAGCAGCGTTGTTGGCCTAGCAGAGTCAGTCTTCCGTCTCTGAATAACAAGTCAGTTGCTTTAATAAAAGAGTTCAGTTTTAAAAACAAATGGATTGACTGCTCTCTTCTTCTGGGGGCGTTAGCATTCATGACAGTGTTCAACAAGAGGGAAAAATTCCCAGAATAAGAGGAAATTAAGTCCCTCTGGACAACTGCTTTCTATTCCAGTGTCTGTTCTGCACAAATGATCTCTCATGGTGTGTGAGCAATATTTCTCAATATAATCTTGCTTTGGAAAGGGCTCAGGATTTTGGGGAGAGCATGTTATGTTATTTATTGCAGGATATTTGCATCTCTGATGTCAGAATACTGGGTGCAACTTTTGAAAGTTTTACTGTGAAGACAGATACAGTTCAGGTCTAAGGACTGCTCTGTTTCTTTTGTTGCTGAAAAGCAATGATGGGACGACTCTTAACGTGAACATGGTCTTCTGCTTGGGAACCTATATGTGACGCCAAATAAAAGGCTACTAACACTAGTTAATGAGTTTGTGGTGTGTTCAAGGTAGTTTTGTGACGTGTGTTTCCTAAAGCTTGTGTGAAACCTTCCTGAAATATTTTCAGGGTGATGGGCGAGTGGAAGCACTACGGCTTATCACTTTCAGAATGCTAGTCAAATCCAGCTTGTAATGAGAGTAGGTTTAGAGGTTCAGTTTATCTTAAATGTGAAAGCTTTGTAAATAATGGGGGATCAGATGCGTGTGCAGATAATTTAAACAAATCCTGCATTTCTTCATTTGCTGTTCTCTTCACAGACATTTCTGAAGTAGAGTCTAACAGGTCATTCTCCCCTCAAGATGACGGATTACATCATTCTGATCTAGATTCACATTCATCCAATGAAAAGCTGAAAGAGAAAACAAAGTAAGAAGTGACTTCTATTTTTTTTGTAGTCCACTGTTCTAATGCTTGTCAAAGAAATTATTAAAATACATGGCATTCTTGCACAATTTTACTACACTTTTTTCTTTTTCTTTCTTTTAGTGCAAAAGATGATCCATCCAGTAGGATGTCCAGGATGGGAGCAATGCCTACACCATTCAAGTCAAGTAGTGACATTGCTACTCCTACTGTTACAGCTGTAGACATAAAAAAAGAAATGAAGTACCAAGATGACCCTGCAGGTCAGAATCTGAAGCTTTTGGTTGTTTTTTCCCCCTGGCCACAGAATGTCTACTCCCCCAGTCATGTTGACATATCTAGTATACTCTTCCTGTTAACCCTGTCCTTACACACAGAGACAAGGTCTGTCTTTGCTTAGTGGTGCAGGGAGAGAAGAAACACCTGAGATTGTTTGAAGGCAGTTGTTTATCAGAATTACCACCTCAAAAAGCAAGTAGTTCACTAGAGCATCTACTAGCCTATTGCTGTAAGCAAACAAATGAAGCTATACCTGAAGTCTTATCTGACTTACTTGAAAGAGTTGTGTATCCCTCCCTTGAACTTTGCTCTTTTTCAGGAATTAAAAAAGGGAAGTAAATCGGTTCTAGTCAGACATGCTGGAAGTTGAAATCTGGCCTGGAGGGGTTTGGTTGCTATCAGATAGTTAAAAATTGCTGCCACTTACAACTTCTTTTAATAGCTCAGTAATTTCTGTTGGCTTTTTTACATCCAGCATCTCAACCAAAAGTTACACGAACGATTCTTAAACCCAGCCCTGAAGATGAAGCAATATATGGGTAAGGCAGCACTTGCTGTGTTCTTTTGCACTGTTTTTCCAGTGACATCTACCTGGTTGTTGGTTGCATGCATTTGGTTTTGAAGTTCTGTCTTTTTGCCTAATTGGAGTGATACTCCTTTTATAGCTTAATGCCAAGAAGAGATGACGTGGTTTCTCACCAACCAAATTTGAGTTAAACTGAGGTTTAGAAGTACCTGCCTGGAAGTATAGACTTGCCTTCTACCCAGAAGTTACAGAACTATGCTTCTGGGCTTGCATGGGAGCATACACAATGGTATATTTTTATTCTGTTCTTTTTGGCAGTACTTGGAGCACAGTATTTGGAGTACTGTGTCCATTTTGGGGCTCCCCAGGATGAGAAGTACATTGACACACTGGAGTGTATGGCATAGGAGAAAAGACTGAGAAAACTGGGTTTGTTAAGCCTGGAGAAGAGGACTGCAGGGGCATCTTATTGCTGTCTTCAGTGAACTAATACGTAGTGTGTAGAGAAAACGGAGCCATACTCTTCTCAATGGGGTAGAGTAGTAGGACAAAGAGCAAGGGATGCAAACTGAAGTATGGGAAATTTTGATACCAAGAAGGCGGCTTTTATTATGAGGTCGTTAACCACTGAACATCTTTCCCTTGTAGGTTGTGTTATATCCAGCGCCAGAAATACTCAAAAACATAACTGGCCAAGGCCCTGATCAACCGGTTTTGAGCAGAGGGCCGTTCTAACCTGTGCAATTCTATGGAAATGTATTTTACACCTCTTCTGTTATTTTATGTGTACACAAAAGACAAACCTTCCTTTCCCCACAGTACAAAGATACAAAGAGAATGTGGTCTATTTAATTTGTAAACTAGCTTCTTGCAAGACAAAGCCAAACATAAGTGTGTTTTTATACAAGGTGGAAGCTTCTATGCAGAAATCCTTTTCTTCAAATGCAAGCCTGTTGCAGTTCTGGTCTCTGCTTAGATGTGAACCAAATGCTGCTTCCAAAATTTACTCGTGTGGGTTTTTTTTTCTGATAGAACCTAGTACTGGTGATTCTTTAATAATTAGCTACTTAATGTTTCAAACTAGTAAATCAATTTCCATGTTTTCCTTTGAGAGTTTCTGAATAAAGAAGGGAGAGGAGCACTGAGATTAGAAAGAGAAACCTAGAGATAAGGTTTTGAGGATATTCTGTACCTTGGAGTATTTTCTTAAATGGATTCTCTTCTCAGATCTTCTCTGGGTTGGACCCTGCATATGTTGTCATTGATGTGCAAATTAATGAAGTGATTATTTTGATGAAGGGGAATTTATAATACAGGCTTAGGGTATTACTGAGAAAAGCTGACAGATAAGTACTGTCCTCTGTGTTGGAAGGTCACTCAGACATACAGCTTTTCTGATAGCAAAAAAGCTGAACCTAGTTCAGCAGCCACCTCCCACTGCAATGTGAAAGGACTGATTGTTAATACACTAATACAGTGTACTTGGAAATACTTATTACAAGAGAAATTGAAGACTTCCGTCTAACAGACATGTTCAACTGCAAATAAAATAGGTATACATTTAATTCATATGACAGTTCTTAAGCATACAGAGGAAAGAACAATGATTATTTACAACTTGAGTGTTTTCACAAAAAAAAAAAACAGCCTCTGAGAGAGGATCTAATACATAGGGGACTATTCTGGGACTTCAAGAACAGGGAGTTGTTCTGCTCTGTCCAGTCTGTGTATAACAGTTACATCCTCTTCCTAGTTCAGTTTTCACTCTGAAAAATGCAAATCCTCTGCTTCCTTCATTCAGTGTTTACCTGGGTAAATATAGCCTAAAGAGTGAAAGAAAGGGACCAAGAATATTATTAATACGATTTTGTTGAATGGGTTGCAGTTATTTTTCTCAACAACCTGTTATTGTCATTTGCCTGACATCTGGCCTTACTTCCTTTTCCTGTCTGTAAATCTTGTAGTCCTAATACAAAAATGGTGAGATTCAAGAAAGGGGACAGTGTTGGTCTACGACTGGCTGGTGGAAATGATGTAGGGATATTTATTGCTGGAATTCAAGAAGGCACCTCAGCTGATCAGGAGGGACTGCAGGAAGGAGATCAGATTCTTAAGGTATGAGTGGAAGTATGTGTCCCTGGAATGCAAATCACCTTTGTGTGTTTTGTTTTCTTCTTAGTGGAAATATGGAAGAAATTATGATCTTAGGAAGTCATGTGATTGCTTTTGAAGTGTATATGTGTGATGGAGAAATGAGTTTTTGAGGGAGATTGTATGCCAAGCTTTAGTTTGTTTAAAAGATTCTGTCAAAGGGGTAGAGCAGGAAAAACACTAATCAAGAAAAACGTCCAAAGATAGGAGAATAAATTTTCTGTACAATGCTTCTTCCTAGTGTTGGATATGAGGAAAAAAAAAGGCCAGGATATTTTTCTTCTTTCATCCTCCTCCAGTTTCCTTGGGTAACAGTGATTTATTTTCCCAGTTTCTGAATTATATCATCTATGTCATTTTGTCCTCTTACATTCTTCTTTTTTGCTGAAAATTAAAATAGGAAACTAATGTAATTTTTTTTCTGCCTCTTTTCTCTTGTGATAGCCTTGATTTTTCAATGTCTTTTGAAGCCTGTTAAAGAAACAATCTAGCCGTATACATCCCAGACCTTGTTACTTCAGAAAAATTGCTGTTAATTGCTGTAATAAAATATTTCTTATGGCAATGGGCATCGATATTGCTTTAAAAAATAAAGCATAATAATGGAAAAGAGTATTTAAGATTTTTTTTTTTTTTTGACATGAAACAAAAATCTGTGGTTACTCCTTTTATTGTTGATCTTTCAGGTGTTGATGTTTAATTTGTTGGTTTTTGTACTTAGGTAAACACTCAAGACTTCAGAGGCATTGCTCGGGAAGATGCTGTTTTGTATCTCTTAGAAATTCCCAAAGGTGAAACAGTAACAATTTTGGCTCAAAGTAAATATGAAGGTAGGTGCTTTGAACAAAATGTGTGTATATCTGTGAAGCTGTTTTGTCAGTGAACCACAAATAATCTCTGTTGTGATTATTCCTGATAGCATTTTAGTCATCCTCCTTTTCAGTCCTTTAGAAGATAGCTGTATTCCATACCATGAGGGTCATACAGGTGTGCGTGCGTAATGTGTTTTTCAGAGCACTTCTCCATCTCTCATTATTAGCAGATAGCATCTATGCTTAATCCTGAAGCATGGCAATTTACTGCTTGTTCCTTCTGCTTTTCTGTCTGTACCAGCTGGCCTAAGATCTTATGATGTTAGCGTTCCTTTTCTGGCAGTCATAAAGGATTCAGTCAGACAGCAGCAAATGGACAGGTTTATGGATGAACAGTTAAGGAGCAAGCAAAGCCTCTTGCTTTCCTGTTGGAGACACAACCTGCTGTAATATTGAAGCTGCCTTTTGCTTTGGGAAGGTGCAAGTACCTTTAAGGACTGTATGTGTTCAAATATAGAACACTCTGGATAAAGTGTGTGTAAGGGCAATGGATGTGAAGGCTGGTTTTGGGGGGGTTTTTTGAGTGTGTGTGTGTGGGAAGACTTCAGAACTGTTCTATAGAATGACAGCTTTATACCTTTTCATATCTGAAAGAGTAAATAAATGGGAATTCCTGTTTTAGTCTACAGAGACATTATGGCTTGTGGCAGAGGAGATTCATTCTTCATCAGGACTCACTTTGAGTGTGAAAAAGAGTCACCACAGAGCTTAGCATTCACCAGAGGCGAGATCTTTAGAGTAGTTGATACACTGTATGATGGCAAACTGGGAAACTGGCTGGCTGTAAGAATTGGAAGTGATCTGGAAAAGGGCATTATTCCAAATAAGAGCAGGTAAGGTGGCATCCTGTCTTCCTACCCATTGTTAGAAGTAAGATTATTTTTCTTCCCGGCATATATTTCTTCCTTACTGGGCCTGTAAAACTGTACATGATTATACAACTTCATGGCATTAGGTGAAGTGAGGATGAGAGGAGACGGCATTACCTACATCTAGTAGATCAGGTATTTGCAACACAGACCTAGAGCTCCTGTCTCAGCAATCAGTGAAGGACCAGCTGCTTCAGTTCATCTTCTAGAAAATGGGTGCAGGGTCCCTTTTTTGCCTTTCCCCCACTTTTCTTCTCCTCACACCACACCCTTCCCTCCTCCCCACCCCCGTTTTCCAAACAAATCTAATAACATGAAGCAAAAAAACCCTATACCTTAGGAAGCTCATGACTGTGTGTGCAGGCATACTCTGATTAATCTTTTTTTTTAAAGGAACTTCAGTGCTTGAATTTCTTTTGTATATCCTTATGAAAAATGTTTCAAAAATTTATTCCAAGGTTAACATTTCTTGGTAGCTGTAGTGAACTACTCAGTGAACCACAGCAATATTGTTTGCTTAAATAGCTTTCCTAGTAAAAATTCATGTGAGGGAAAAGCAAGTGTTCAAATGTGCACAGTGCATAAAAGTATTAATTCATCAACAAAAAAAATCACCGTATTTTTAGACTATAGCTTTTCCATTCCTGAGGATGGTTGTAACTTTAAGATGGAGGGGAAAAATGCTCACAATTGCATTGTACTGAAGTTCCTGAAATATGTTGCTTATGCAACTCCCCTGCCTCTTTCTCAGTCAGTACGTTCTGTCCTCTGTTAATTGATGTCACAAAACTTGCCTTTGTTTGTATGCTGTAGTAACTTGACTTACAAGGCCTAATTGAGAATAAAAGAGTGACTAATTTCCTAGGCCTTCAGTTCTGACTTGCACTTTCACCACCACCTCTTTGCAGTTGCATTCTTTTATTTATGCTTGAGAGTTACCAGTTTAAGGGAACTCATTCCTGCTCAGCAGTCTTGTAGCTGTGGCAAGTCAGAGCATTTTTCTGACACTTTGTTCCAAGGCAAAGGAACCTGGACTTCTCCATTCTTTCCTCCACTCATGGCTATCTGGAAAATTACCTGTTGCAAATTCAAAGTATGTTGTTCTTCAGTGAAAGCACTTTTGCGCTTTTTGAGTAGTTCTGTAGAAATGAATGCTGTGCTTTCTCTGTCAGAGCTGAGCAGATGGCCAGTGTTCAAAATGCCCAAAAGGATGGCTCAAGCGATAGGGCAGACTTCTGGAGAACACGTGGTCAGCGATCTGGAGGGAAGAAGAATCTGAGGAAGAGTCGTGAAGATCTGACAGCTGTTGTATCTGTGAGCACAAAATTCCCAGCTTATGAGCGAGTTCAGTTGCGTGAGGGTAAGTGGCAGTGCTGTAAACCAGCTGCCTATTTATTGCTGGCTGGTTTCATGTACAAATATTTGGTTAGCTGAGTAAGTGATTTTGAACAACTTGGGTTCAGTGTTAAATCTGAGCAACTTGAAGTAAAAATTAGTAAAGAAAAAAAATGAGCAGGATTTTCTTGTTTCCTCAGCTTCCCTTTGGCTAGCTCTGAAAGTACAATCCATATGGCCACGATGTTTCACAATCTTTAGCTTGCTCATAAATAGCAGGGTAGTACACATTACCTTGAGGCCAAACAAAGGCCAGGTATTCTCAGGAGATTGTCCAAGTGTAATTGAGGTTAACGTGGTCCATTATCTGTAACTCTAAACTAGGTCTATTGCTAGTGATGTTGAGCAAGTCAAGATAATTTTCAGGATATTCACACAGGATAGTATTGTGAAACTAAGTAAATAATATAAAGTATCTTAAAGGTGCTCCCAGATGTCAAGATGCAGACTCAGCAGTAGAATGGCAGTCCCCCATTAACTTATGAAGACTGTCTCTGTGCTTGTTTTGACAAAAGCATAACAGAATTTTGCATTTCTTTGCTTCTTCAAGCTGCCCTACAGCTGATTTAGCATTTGTATCTTTATTCAAACAAAGCCTTCTGGTCACAGTTCATGCTATTTTGCTGGATGGAAACATTACTGAAAATCTGCGTGTTTTCAGAAGGCAGAATCCTCTCAATACAACTTCATTAGGAAGAATAAGGAAGCTGTTAAATTAAAACAATCTCTTTTTCTTAGCTGATAAAAATACTTTTCTGTATGAGTTACGCTGTTGCACAAACTTTTGAAAGCATTTTTTAAATGTATTTTTAAATAACTTCCACTTACTCATAACCTTGTGTAGTAATTGAGGGTTTCACCTCTGCCATTTAGCTTTTGGTATAAAACCAGGCTTATCTGACTTCGCTTTTCTGCAAATATTTTTCTTTCAGCTGGTTTTAAGAGACCTGTGGTAGTATTTGGCCCTATTGCAGATGTTGCTATGGAGAAGTTGTCGAATGATTTGCCTCACCTGTACCAGACAGCAAGTAAGTTGTCCTCCCAGCTTTCTTACCATCCTTAACTGAGAGAAGGGATAACTTAATAATCGCAGCTGCCTGGCCACTCTAGATAAGTTAAAATGTTCTTCTTTGCAGAGACAGAGCCCAGAGATGCAGGTTCAGAGAAGTCAACTGGGGTGGTGCGCTTGAACACTGTGATGCAAATCATTGAGCAGGTGGAGTATTTCCCTGTAAAAATTGCTTATGATCAAAGGCATGTCATTTGATTTGTTTGCTCTTAAAACTTGGAGAGTCCTCACATCTTCACTGCATCTGTTTTGGAGTTGTTCAGAAACAAGTTTTATACTTTTGTTAGCTATCCTCCAAATGGGAGGGTGAACTCACTATTAGAAATTAAATTCTCCTGTCTTAAGTTCATTCTAAATTCGAACAGTTGGGCACCTGTGTTTTACTGCATGCTTTCTGAATTTGACGTGGAGGCTTTACTGTCATGCAGTGCTCTTGCTCTGCTGTGAACAGACACTTAATGGTTTAGATTGCCTCAGAGTTACTGAACTACTATTAAACTGAACAGGAAGTGACTATGGTAAGTAAGTGGCATCCACCGAGACTCTTTTTATAATACTGTTTAAAGATCAGGTAAACAGATAGTAATCCAGAAGCCTAAAAGCTTGGGCAAAAAGAACGTACTACACAGCTTGCCCTGAGCCCAATAAAACCAATGCCAGAGGAGTTAGAATGTCACAGAGAAGTCTGTTCAGAGTTCAGGCCCCACTGAACACATATTTGAAATCCCAGTTCATCTTTGCACTAGAAATATCTGAGAAGGAAATATGAAATGTGGAAAAAAAAAGTGAGATTTGCTTCAGCTAGTAAGTATAGATAAAAGCTTACAGTTAGCAGACAGAATTATTGTAGTAGTGGAATGCGTGGTAGGGGGAGGTAGAGAGAAAAGCAAGGAACTTTCACTACCTATTAAAAAAAAAAGGTGGAATAAGTGCACTTAACACGAGAATTAGTTAATGTAAGAACACGGACATCAGGCAAAAGCTGTTCAGAAAAATGGAGCTGAAAGAAAAAGGCTGCTAGCTGTGGCTTATGAATGTTATATAACTGTGGGGGAAGATCCCACCAAGTTCTGTTCTTATTTGGACAAAAATATCTTGTTTTTCCTGAGATACTCTGTTCCAGCTACCTCCTGTTGTTCTCCGCAAGCAGCACACTGACAGGCCTTTCTTGTTAACAGGATAAACATGCTCTGTTGGATGTAACTCCTAAAGCAGTGGACCTGCTAAATTATACCCAGTGGTTTCCAATTGTAATCTTCTTTAACCCAGATAGTAAGCAAGGTGTGAAAACCATGAGACAAAGGCTGTGTCCCACATCTAACAAGAGCTCAAGAAAACTTTATGAGCAAGCAAACAAACTGAAGAAAACTTGTTCCCACCTCTTTACAGGTAAGGAAGAATGTGTATCTAACTTGCTTACCCAGAGAGTAGTGGATGTGACTGTGTAAGTCTTGAGATACCCACTTACTACTCTGTATATTATGTAGGCTGGAACTAAAAGGATGTGAAGGTACAGTCATAAACAGTGCCTTGCTTGACTTTTTCCTAAATTCCTTATTCTGCCAGATTCTAATACAAAAGAAATTGTGAATCAGCATACTGTCGTCAAATGATAAGTGACTTAAATAAGCTTGGAAAATGGACAAACAATAGAAATAGCATGCTTTTGTCAATGATCTAAATTAAATGTCTGTTCTCACTTAACATTCTCAAATAACTAGAACAAAAAGTCTTAAACAGCAAAGACTGGATAAAGGATCACATTGCATATGCTGTGTATATATACTTTTTCCTTCCAATTCTTGCAGCCACCATCAATCTGAATTCAGCCAATGATAGCTGGTATGGTAGTCTGAAAGATACAATTCAGCAACAACAAGGAGAAGCAGTATGGGTATCAGAAGGAAAGGTAAGCAGTCAGTCCGTACTGTACTAAGCTGTACAGATGTCTCAAGACATTATTTCCCAGTAAAATTTCTATAAAATTTTGTTTGCCGATGTCGGATAGGTTAGACATATAGTTTGTCTTTCTTGGTAATAAAAGATTACTTATTATTGTTCTTACTGTTAACCTTTGGAGCTTTCATCACTAGTGCTGTGGCTAGAGAAGAATAGTTAGGAAGGATAAACTTTTACAGAACTTTCCTTTCTGATTCTGCATTAGAGTTTCCTTCACTTTTGCAAAGTTGTGATTAAGGAGTTGTTTGGCATGATACTAAGACCTAACTAGGGTCTAATTCTTATCTTTTTAATCTTCTTAATTCTTACTGTTTTGTAGATGGACAGTATGGAAGATGATACAGATGATCGTATGTCTTACCTTACTGCAATGGGTGCTGATTATTTGAGTTGTGACAGTCGCCTGATCAGTGACCTGGAAGATACAGATGGAGAAGGAGGTGCATACACTGATAATGAGCTTGAGGAGCCTTCGGATGAACCAAGGATTTCATCTGTAAACCGGTTCTCTGAACCTGTACATCATGAGGAGGTGAGATGACTGGATTTTCAACAGGAATGTACTTTGGACTTTCTGAAAGCCCTGTATATATGGCTTAAAAGTGAGTTTTTTAAACTGCAGCTTTATCTTACCTCTGCTAGTGTTTACAGCTACATTGTGTAGAGTAAAATGGCAATAGCTCTGCTTTTCTGCCTAACTCCGTAGGTTTCCTGATGATGTCTCATCACCTTGAATTTTGCAACTATACCTGCAGTGATTTGGTCAGGTTGCTGACAGTCATTTGACTCCTGGTTACTGTTCCCAAAATAGTAAACTTGAGTGAGGGGTAAAAATGATTGAATTAGTGGGTACTGCAGTGATTTTTATCTCCTTTTTTTCTTTCACAGAGTTTAAAAAAAATTAATCCAGAACCAAGGGTGCAGTTGAGAAAAGCTGGTAGCAGGGAGATCCTTAGAGAACCAAGTCCACCTCCAGCATTCAAACCAGAACCACCTAAGGTAAAGTTGTAGAAACAAATCTCAATACAAAGCTGTTCTTCCCAGAGAACTCTCCAGGTGAGACATCAGGAAGCGCAACAGTAATGATTAGAGTCTAGAAAACATTGTAAGTGCAGAGTGTTGCAGGATAAGTCAGACAGAAAACTTAAAAGGATAACAGTTCTTTTCAAATATATGTGGTCTCTATATGCAATAAGAAAGTCTGTTAACAAATTCAAAGGCACCTTTTTAATTCAGCAAGACCACATGTAGGCTGATCATCAGGAAAAGCGTATCTGATGGCCATTATTGTGAAGCACAAAATCAGAATCTACCACCTCTGAAATCAGTTTCCACTGCTGGAAACTCATGGTAACTGTTTGTGCCAACCTTGCTCAGGAATAGTATGGGGGAAATTGACACCAAATTCTATTTCAGCAATTCCTGATTTACCCTGAACCCAAAGATCTTTCTTCATGAGGATGGGTCTCTTTCATACTGCATGTATTCAAAATATATTGAAGTACACCTTGACAACAGAGACTAAGCAAAGTAGGACATGTGTGAGTTAAAAAAGATGGAACAGAAAACAGGTTTGGGTCCTGTGCACTTCTCCTCATAGTGATATTCTACATTAGGTAGTACTGACAGATCATTTGGGAGGGCAGTGTTCTCTGTGCTGGGCCCTAGCACATGTTGTAGTTGTGTTAATCCTTAACAAATGGGGCAAACATGTCTAAATGTGCTGGTCTTCTGTAGGTTGATGTGTAGTATATGAGTGTAAGCCCAAAATGTTGC